GTAAGGGTAGTCCATCAAGCAATGCTGCTTCAAAGCTTACAAAAGTCGTACTAAAACATTTTTGACGGATTTTTGAGCGACGTGTACCACATAAAATTGGTTCGAGGTCATTAAGCACAACCAGAATTCAGACATAAGGTGCACTGTTGATTTTTGAGAAAATTCAAGGTTTTTAAGTGTACCATATAGACCGAAAAATATTGTATATGAGTTTTGTAAGGTTGATTGTTTCAGGGCAGGAGGCTGGGAGACTTGGCGGTCTGGGATACATCACACAGTTTCACACACTCTTCATTTTACACTTAATGGTGCTGTTGTAAATGGTGAAAATACTAGTAGTAGTAGTACAACAAGGATACCCAATGGATTTATTTTGCCAAATGGATCATCGTGGCATTGCCGTATTGGTCCATTTGATCGACCTTTGTTTTTATTATTTATTATATTTTATTTTCAGATGTTACAGACGGGACAGACATGAGTGAGGGATAGGAAAGGGAGAGAGAAAGAGGAAGGAAAAGAAAAACAGAAGGGGAGAGGGACAGTGAGAAAGGGGGGGAGAAAAAAAATCTCCTGGATCACCTGTTGAGAGAGAAAGAATAGAAAACAAGCAAAAAAAAAACAAAGCAACATACTAAACACATCACCATCTGTTACGTCCCCCTGGCTAGTCTAGGGGGTTGAAGGGACGAACATAAATGTGGATAGAGAAGGAGGAGCCAAGATGGTAAATTTAAAAGGTTTATTTAATACTGGTGATGGGGTTCAGACCGAGGTGTAACGTCAGGGAGAGCCAAGGCCAACATAACAAACAAAACATCCCTGACGTAGAAATAAAAGAAACTTACCTAACTCCAAAGAAACAAAATATACAACCTATAACCATAACCTACCTAACAACACATAAACAGGAGAAAACAGGGTGTCAAAACAAAAGGCAGCTCTCCCCTACAAGCAGTCTGAACATGAAACAATAATGCTCACACAAAATACAAAGGCATGCAAGCCTGCACAAGTATGGCAACCAAAATGACCGGAGGGCCCAGAAGCACAGCTCCACAGGCCTTAAATAGTGCTCTGCTGATTACCAATCAGCCGGACTCTGCACAGCATCCAATCAGGACAGAGGAGGTGGAGCCTGGACAAAACAAAGGGTTAATAGGGAGAAGAGACATCCTCCTGGGGGATGTAACACCATCGCATTAATCTAGCTAAGTGTAAACAGCAGTAAATACTAAATATTCAATGTTGTTGTGCAGCACGCAGGACAGACAGCGCACAATGTGCTTTGAAGTAGCAGCCAAGAAAGGTGTAATTTAAGTCTACGAGCAGTGAACATCCGTGTGCATACCTGTGTGGATCAGCGCACTTGTATTCAAATGGTTTCCACATGTAATGGTCTGCAAGAGGATGTAGCGAGCCATAGCCCCGTCCCCCAGGGCATGAAGCAGGCATGGAGGAGATCCAGGCCCCAGACATCCAGAGGCCCCAGAGTGCGAGAGCCCAAGGAGGACCAGCGGAGGGGCATCCGTGCCACCCTCATGGGAAGGGCTGAGGATCCCCAGATGAGGCGTCACCCAGTAGCCACCGAGCAGAAGCTAGAGGGGGCTGCACCGGCATGCCCGCCAGCTCTGCTGGCAGCCAGCTGTGCCAGAGTGAACCGAGCCGCAGGCCCAGAGGCCGGAGGCCCGAGGGCCCCCCGCACCCCGGAGGAGGCCTGACCGAGCAACAGGCGCCAGGCCCTGCCAAGTAGCCACCAGGAGTGAGCTGGTACATACCTGAGCGCCCAGCCCCGGACATCAAGAACCACCAATGCACCGACCCTTGCCTGTGGGATCCTTGCCACAGTTGACAGCCTGCACGAGAGTGGGCCCAAGCCTCCAGTATCCACCTCTCTGCTGACTCAGAATAATGAACTTACTGTGCAAAGAAATATTGTCACATTTGTGATTCACACTTCTTCTCACTTAAATATTGTGAAAGTTAAATAAGTATCAGGTATGATCAGGTATAAACTGTACAGTGTGTCCACATATCAGGTATTCTGTATTATACATTGTACATATATTAGTTTGGTTTCCAGTCCAAAGTTGGTGGATGACACTGATTCTACTGAAAAAAAAAACGTTTTATTTATTTGTCATTGGCTATGATAGCTATTTTATGTTTTATCAGTTTCTACTAATACGATAATATGATAATATATTTAAGTATAATTTCACTACAGTTAACTAGCTTGTAATACTACTGACACAAGTGCAGTTTATGGAGGTTGTAACCTGAAGCTTTGGATACATCTCTCTTCACTTCATATTAAGTAAAAACAGTCTGAATTATGGATGAACTCCAGTCTGTGTTTTCTCAACTATTCAGAAACCGTTTTAAAACCTCAGATTTGGTTTTTATTCTGTGTGAAAAACATAATCTTGAATTGTAACAGAAAAGGGAAGGTGAAGGGGGAAAAAAAAACAAGATAAAAACAGTGGATTTTTTTCTTGTCAACTTGCATATTAAACTAAAACCAAAGAGTGTTTGTTGTCAGCGTATAAGGTGTGTTTAATTCTCACTTGTATTTATGCGTGTAATTAATTTTAAACCTTTGTCAGTTTAAATATTCTACAGCCGAATTTAAAAACAGCTGTTTCTTTTAAATAAATAAAAAAGGACCATTTGTCCGTTACTGTGTTGCACTGTTTATGTAAAAACAACTGAAATAAAACTGTTTATATCTGGATAAACTCAACATTGTGTACAGAGAATTAAAGGAAACAAATAAATAAACAGACGGCAAGATGTTTTTTTAAATGTCTTAGTAAACATTTATACAACAAGTTTATTTATAGGATAGGGTGTGTTATGCTGCAGGTATGAAACATTACATTATAAATTGTCTATACGGTATATAAGGAGAAAAGGCGACAAGCACAAAGACTCGTTCCGACTTTCATTCTGTCAGTTTCTCCTCTCATCACATACAATTGAAACCACTTATTTACATACACTAAAAACGCAAACACATTTTAATCTTTACTATCAAACATCAAATCCGAGAATATAATTTTTGTATTTGTGAAATGTCAGAATAAAGAGAGGGAAAATTGTTATTTATTTATTTTTGTAATACTTTCATCAAAGTCAGAAGTATACATACACTTCCTTAGTATTTGATAGAATTGCCCTGAAACGGTTTCACTTGGGCCAAAAATTTCAGGTATCCTTCAACAAGCTTTCTACAATAGTTTGCTGCAATCTTGGCCCACTCCTCTTGACAGAAGTGATGTAAGTGGGTCAGGTTTGTAGGCCTTCTTGCTTGCATTTGCCTTTTCGATGCTGTCTACAAATTTTCTATGGGATTTAGATTCAATTTAGTTCAATTCAATTTTATTTATATAGCGCCAAATCACAACAACAGTCGCCTCAAGGTGCTTTATATTGTACAGTAGATCATACAATAATAGATACAGAGAAAACCCCAACAGTATGTATGTTAACACTATTAGAAGTAAAAATAACTTGATCTCCAATTTTGAAAACACAACTTTCTTTGTTTTCTTTCTTTTTTTTATTTTTTATAAAGCTCTGACTTGTATTATTAGTATGAGTCTGTGGTCTGGAAGAAAGTCCTGTCTGCAAAATACAGCATATAATGACCAATGTTGAGCAATTAATTATATAGTTACTTCTTCAAAAAAGTAACTCAGTTTGGCAAACAGCAAAGTTTTTTGCAGCTATTTATTTTTTTAATGCAGCCAAGGTGTTTTTTTAAATAAACATTTCAAACTGTTTGCAGAACAATCAGCTGTTCTGCATCAAATTTGATGCCACACAAATTATTTGTGCCACTCCAAAAAATAATTTCTGTCCACCATAAAGGAGAACAATAGCCTGATACCTGCAGGAGATGTATCACTCCTGTAACATTCAGCAGTCGCCTCATTGTTCTGACACACACAACAAAACTACACTACACACTGACTACACAAGATTTGCGCTAAACGTCTCAAATCTCTCACATCTCAAAACACCGCCGTCACTCCTAAAACTTCCCCCATTTCGACATGGTACTTTTTTCCACCAATAGGAAAGGGTGAGTTTTTTGGTTTTGTTTTTGCTCACAGGCTTTCGAGCGTTTTCCTTATAAAACGCTGTTTTTACCGTTTCTTCCCGCAGTAAACAACATATTCAGAATAATAGTATTCAGGAAGAAAACCAAACACTGCAGATATTTTTATCATAACTCTGGTTTTACGCCTATCAACACAATTTAAACAATTTAAAAACTGGCATAAAGTCCACACTTTTTCCCTCAATTGTCCTGTCTGTCCTGCTCACATCTCCAGTGGTTGTACACGTTGTCATTAACGTGGCTCCACATCAGCCACGCCGCTTTGCTAGCTAAAACACCGGTGTCGGCACATAAGGACGCTGTCATAGCCTGTCAGCGACGTTGATTAGCTGCGTATATACAAATGTGAATGGCATCAATGGCTGGACTATGGGATAAGGTGACGTCGTTCTAATCCCATCCGGGAGCAGCCAGTCACTGACTGACTAACACTGCAAAACAGAATTATTAACGTATTAATTTTAAATTCAATTCAGGTTAGATTTTTTTTTGGTTGCTGGTCCATATGAGCCGAATACAGCAGTAAACAGCAGGCTGTGTAAAAACTGAAGATGTCAATTGATTAAAATATTTAATAGTTAACTTTAGAGGGTTAGTGTACAACTCAAAGCAATAACACAAAGGTATCTGGTTTAAGTCCCAGTTGAACTCGTGAAACCCTCTTATTTAAGTTGGATGTTTAAAGGCGCTCATTAATTAAATAATAACTCCCCTCAAATGCATTAAGCCTGAAGTAACTAGTCTATTTTGAAAATGTAAGAAGTAGAAAGTACAGATATTTGTTTAAAAATGTAAGGGGTAAAAGTAAAAAGAAAAGAAACTACTTAAGTAAAATACAGATACCTGAAAATTGTACTTAAGTACAATAATGAAGTATTTGTACTTTGTTACTTCACACCTCTGCAAATAACTATGCCAATACATATAAGCATTTATATAACAGGAACACATTAAAGCATAGTGAAGCAAATTATATAGGAGGTGATCCTCGTATCCAGAGCTTTTAGTGAAATCTCAGAAATATGTCCAAAAATATCAACAAAAAACAGGTGTGGAAGAGGAGATAACCTCAGAGAGTAGATGGCCAAAATTAATTTTTACTTTTTAGATTTTGGTCTTTAACAATGAAGAGTGGGTTTGGTCCTGCTGCTTTTGGACTCTTTGTGTTTGGAGGTTGGATCAAAGTTCTCATACCCAACAGATAACTGAAAATAAAACACCAACAATAAACCTGAGATGCACAACAGATTTTAAATAACCTCATGTAACATCACAGTTTTATGTACTTTGAAGTTTAAAACTAAGAAACACAGTTTTTTCCCCCCAGAGTAATAAACAAACAAAAACAGATGTAACAATATAAAAATCATAAGAAGTTTCAGAGCAGCATACATGTACTGCAGTGTCAGGAAACAGGTCTAAATGTGCTTTCACACTTTTAGACACCCTGAAATGTTGATGTTGTGGAATAACCTCAGAAGGGACAGTAAAATATGTTGTATGGTTTTCTACCTAAATAATTATGTAACAGGTTTCTGTCTGGTATAACAATTGTTCGCTTTGTTTTCACTTCCCTATGCTGGTGAAGAAAGTAAGTAAATTTTTATTTATATAGCACATTTCTAGATAGAGATCACAAAGTGCTTTATAATGGATTGGATTTATATAGCGCTTTTTCTGGGCACCCAAAGCGCTTTACAAAATATAACAGATTAAAAGACAAAATACAAACAAAGTTAACAAAAAGCAATTTTAAAAAGATGTGTTTTTAGCTGTTCTTTAAAAGTAATCAATGAATCAGCGGATCGTAAGTCCTGAGGAAGGGAATTCCACAGTCTGGCGGCCACAGTAGCAAAAGCTCTATCACCCCTAGTTTTCAATCTCGTATACTGAAAGACAAGTAGGCCCTGACTACTCGACCTCAGAGACCTACTAGGGGCATAGGGCTGTAAAAGTTCAATAATATATGGTGGTGCTTGTTGTTGAAGAGCCTGGTGAAGATGGTGTTATTAAAGAAACTTTCATTTAAGAAACTTTAATAACAGGTAACATCACCTCTTTTCACTACATTTCACTGAGAAAGTCCCCTCTGACACCATGAATCAACAGCACTCACTAAAACCTGCAACAACAGACAGAAAACAAGTGACACAAACTCACCTCTATGTTTGTGTCATTTTCTCTGGAGTTCAGTCCAAAGTTCCTCCTTGTCTTACTAATGTAGAAGAGCATGAGGAAAACAGCCATCAGCAAAACACCATCCAAGGACGCACGCACAACTAGAAGCCAGGAGGAGTCAGGACAATGTGTAGAGACTCCTGCAGTCACACTTTCACTCTGTGTTGCTGTTGTTGTTTGTGGTGCGGAAGTAGGTGGGTTTGAAGCCGTGAACAGCAAACACAAAGCATATGGTTATTGAATCAACAATGATGAAGGCAAATGCAGCCTAATTTAAATCATGTTAGCATACAGGTTAATACAAACATTTAGGAAGCACTACATGCAGCATTTTGTGCATAGTGAAATACATAGACCACATAGTCAAGTTCAGTTGCAGTCTTGTTAAATCAGCTAATGGATAAGGTAATGCTGTTAAACATTAAACTGGGAACAGCAACAAAAACATGGGCATTAGTTTGTTTCTTTGTCAAACCCTCTGATGTTAGAAAGGTATAATGATCTCTCACTCAGTGTATCAGCTGATCTCAGGCAGTAGCAAGAATCTCACCTCAAAATCACCAAAAGTTTCATGATTTTATTTATTGTTGTTCTGATTGTGTTTACTTTACTTTCCAAGCAGTGATCTACTTTTATTAGTAGTAGTATTTTAAGGCACATGGAATATGCAAAAAGTTTGTACTATTTTGAACAGAAACTTACCATCACTGACAAGAACATATTCACTCTCGTATGAATCTGGAGACAGAGGGTTTCCATAACCACACCTGTACAATCCTGTGTCTGACTTGGTCAGCTGTGTGATGGTCGCATACAGTGGATACATGGATCCTGGTCTGTGTTCAATGCTGTATCTTCCACTCACAGATTTGTTGTTAGTTGTGTCAATGAGGATCTCCCCTTCATTCTTACACTCATTCTTACAAAATAACGTCCTCTGTCCATACGCATTAATGGAACATACTAATGTGATGTTTTCTCCCTTCATTTCTGTGTGATAAAAGCCACTGTTTTTATCCAGATCTGTGAAATAGAAGAACATTCATTACTATGAACTTATAGGGCAGAGTTAGAGGTCTTAGAAGTACACAGGGGAGAGTGTGAATGTTTTTTCATTTGTCTTATTTTTTGAAGCATTTTTCAGAACTCGGAAATCTCAGAAATATGTCCAAAAATATCAACAAAAAACAGGTGTGGAAGAGGAGATAACCTCAGAGAGTAGATGGCCAAAATTAATTTTTACTTTTTAGATTTTGGTCTTTAACAATGAAGAGTGGGTTTGGTCCTGCTGCTTTTGGACTCTTTGTGTTTGGAGGTTGGATCAAAGTTCTCATACCCAACAGATAACTGAAAATAAAACACCAACAATAAACCTGAGATGCACAACAGATTTTAAATAACCTCATGTAACATCACAGTTTTATGCACTTTGAAGTTTAAAACTAAGAAAACAGAGTTTCAAACTCAGAGCTACAAGATGAGCCTGGTATCCACACATAAATCAAAAAAAGTGACTAACTTCTTTTTATTTTATTTTAATTTTTTTTCGCCTGTCCCATTTGGTTCTTTTGCTATCAGAAGTATTGTCTAAAGGCAAAGAAAGATGCCCAATGAATTTACTTTCCCAAATGGACCATCACGGCATTGCTGTAAAGGTCCATTTGATTGACCTTTGTTTTTATTGTTTATTTTATTTTATTTTATTTTCACTTGCTACACACGGGACAGACATGACTGGGGGAAAGAAAAGGGAGAAAGAAAGAGAGGTAGGGAAAGAAAAACACACACACACACACATATGTATATATATATATATATATATATATATATATATATATATATATATATATATATCCATCCATCCATCGTCATCCGCTTTATCCGAGGCCGGGTCGCGGGGCAGCAGCCTAAGCAAAGAGGCCCAGACCTCCCTCTCCCCAGCCACCTCCTCCAGCTTATCCGGGGAATACCGAGGCGTTCCCAGGCCAGCCAAGAGATATAATCTCTCCAGCGTGTCCTGGGTCTGCCCTGGGGCCTCCTCCCGGTGGGACATGCCTTGTCAGATGCCCGAACCACCTCAGCTGGCTCCTTTCGATGTGGAGGAGCAGTGGCTCTACTCTGAGCCCCTCCCGGATGGCCGAACTTCTCACCCTATCTCTAAGGGAGAGGCCAGCCACCCTTCGGAGGAAGCTCATTTCTGCCGCTTGTATCCGCGATCTCGTTCTTTCGGTCACTACCCACAGCTCATGGCCATAGGTGAGGGTAGGGACGTAGATCGACCGGTAAATTGAGAGCTTCGCTTTTACACTCAGCTCCCTCTTCACCACGACGGACTGGTGCAGCGTCTGCATTACTGCAGCTGCAGCCCCAATCCGTCTGTCGATCTCCGGCTCCCTTCTCCCATCACTCGCGAACAAGACCCCGAGATACTTGAACTCCTCCACTTGGGGCAGGAACTCATCCCCGATCTGGAGTGGGCACTCCACCCTTTTCCGGCTGAGAACCATGGCCTCAGATTTGGAGGTGCTGATCCTCATTCCCGCTGCTTCACACTCGGCTGCGAACCGTTCCAGTGTGAGCTGGAGGCCCTCACCCGATGAAGCCAACAGAACCACATCATCCGCAAAAATCAGAGATGAGATTCTGAGGCCACCAAAGCGAAAGCCCTCCGCCACTTGGCTGCACCTAGAAATCCTGTCCATAAAAATTATGAACAGAACCGGAGACAAAGGGCAGCCTTGGCGGAGCCCATCACCCACCAGGAACGAGTCCGACTTATTGCCGCCAATGCGAACCAAGCTCTTGCAACGGTTGTATAGGGATCGAATGGCCCGTAGCAATGGGCCAGACACCCCATACTCCCGCAACACCTCCCACAGGACACCCCGAGGGACACGGTCGAATGCCTTCTCCAAGTCCACAAAACACATGTAGACTGGTTGGGCAAACTCCCATGCACCCTCAAGTATCCTCGAGAGGATAAAGAGCTGGTCCAGTGTCCCACGACCAGGACGAAAACCGCATTGTTCCTCCTGTATCCGAGGTTTCAACTAGCGAACGAACTCTCCTTTCCAGCACCCTGGCATAGACTTTCCCAGGGAGGCTGAGGAGTGTGATCCCCCTGTAGTTGGAACACACCCTCCGGTCCCCCTTCTTAAAGATGGGGACCACCACCCGGTCTGCCAGTCCACAGGTACTGCCCCTGATCTCCACGCAACATTGCAGAGGCGTGTCAACCAGGACAGCCCTACAACGTCCAGAGCCTTCAGGAACTCGGGGCAGACCTCATCAACACCAGGGGCTCTGCCACCAAGGAGCTGTTTAACTGCCTCAGTGACCTTGCCCCCGGAAATTGGCGGGTCATTCCCCTCATTCCCAGACTCTGCTTCCTCCTCGGAAGACGTGTCAGTGGGATTAAGGAGATCCTTGAAGTATTCCTTCCACCGCCTGACAATTTTCGCAGTCGACGTTAGCAGCGCTCCGCCAGCACTATACACAGTGCAGGTAGAGCATCGCTTTCCCCTCCTGAGACGCCTGACGGTTTGCCAGAATCTCTTCGAGGAAGTCCGAAAGTCTTTTTCCATGGCCTCTCCGAACTCCTCCCACACCCGAGTTTTTGCTTCAGCCACTGCCCGAGCCGCATTCCGCTTGGCCTGTCGATACCTGTCGGCTGCCTCCGGAGTCCCACAGGCTAACCAAGCCCGATAGGACTCCTTCTTCAGCCTGGTGGCTCCCTTTACCTCTGGTGTCCACCATTTGGTTTGGGGATTACCACCACGGCAGGCACCAACCACCTTGCGGCCGCAGCTCAATGCAGCAGCTTCGGCAATGGAGACGCTGAACATGGTCCATTCGAACTCAATGTCCCCAGTCCCCCTCGGAATGCTGTTGAAGCTCTGCCGGAGGTGTGTGTTGAAGATCTCGCGGACTGGGGCCTCTGCTAGACGTTCCCAGCACACCCTCACTACGTGTTTAGGTGCACCAGGTCTGTCCAGCGTCCTCCCCCGCCACCTGATCCAACTCACCACCAGGTGGTGATCAGTTGACAGCTCAGCCCCTCTCTTTACCTGAGTGTCCAGAACATAAGGTCGCAGGTCTGGTGATACGATTACAAAATCGATCATTGACCTACGGCCTAGAGCGTCCTGGTGCCATGTGCACTTATGGACACTCTTATGTTCGAACAAGGTGTTCGTTATGGCCAAACTGTGATTAGCACAGAAGTCCAATAACAAAGCACCGCTCGGGTTCAGATCAGGGAGGCCGTTCCTCCCAATTATGCCCCTCCAGGTCTCGCTGTCGTTACCCACGTGAGCATTGAAGTCTCCCAGCAGGACAACAGAGTCTCCAGGTGGAGCACCTTCCATCACCCCCCCCAGGGACTCTAAGAAGGCTGGGTACTCTGAACTGCCACTCGGCGCATAAGCGCAGATGACAGTCAGGACCCGTTCCCCGACCCTAAGGCGCAGGGAACAAACCCTCTCGTCCACCGGGAAAAACCCCAACATACCGGCAGCAAGCCGAGGGGATATCCCTCCTCCTTGAATCGCTACCTTATCGTGGTGGAGGGGTTTGTGTGTCCCAGGGATCCCAGGGGCTATGTTGTCTGAGGGCTTTTGTCCCCTGGTAGGGTCTCCCATGGCAAATTGGTCCTGGGTGAGGGACCAGACAAAGAGCGATTCAGAAGACCCTTATGAAAAGAATATCGAGGGAACCGTTTACCCTGCCCGGGATAGGGTTACCGGGGCCCCGCCCTGGAGCCAGGCCCGGGAGGGTGCCCGAGGGCGAGCGTCTGGTGGCCGGGCACAGCCCGAAGATGAGACATGGGCCCATCCTCCCGCAGGAGGCGCCATAGGGGTCGGGTGCATTGTGTGCCGGGTGGCGACCAGGAGCGGAGGCACTGGCGGACTGACCCCCGGCTGCCAAGACTGGCAATATATATATATATATATATATATAAACACCCAGCACGCCCCTGCGGGCGGTTTATCCTTCAAGCTCGGGTCCTCTACCAGAGGCCTGGGAGCTTGAGGGTCCTGCGCAGTATCTTAGCTGTTCCCAGGACTGCGCTCTTCTGGACAGAGATCTCCGATGTTGTTCCCGGGATCTGCTGGAGCCACTCGCCTAGCTTGGGAGTCACCGCACCTAGTGCTCCGATTACCACGGGGACCACCGTTACCTTCACCTTCCACATCCTCTCGAGCTCTTCTCTGAGCCCTTGGTATTTCTCCAGCTTCTCGTGTTCCTTCTTCCTGATATTGCTGTCATTCGGAACCGCTACATCGATCACTACGGCCGTCTTCTTCTGTTTGTCTACCACCACTATGTCCGGTTGGTTAGCCACCACCATTTTGTCCGTCTGTATCTGGAAGTCCCACAGGATCTTAGCTCGGTCATTCTCCACCACCCTTGGGGGCATCTCCCATTTTGACCTTGGGACTTCCAGGTTATACTTGCACAGATGTTCCTGTACACTATGCCGGCCACTTGGTTATGGCGTTCCATGTATGCCTTGCCTGCTAGCATCTTGCACCCTGCTGTTATGTGCTAGATTGTCTCTGGGGCATCTTTACACAGCCTGCACCTGGGGTCTTGCCTGGTGTGATAGACCCCAGCCTCTATGGATCTTGTGCTCAGAGCTTGTTCTTGTGCTGCCATGATTAGTGCCTCTGTGCTGTCTTTCAGTCCAGCTTTGTCCAGCCACTGGTAGGATTTCTGGATATCAGCCACCTCCTCTATCTGCCGGTGGTACATACCGTGCAGGGGCCTGTCCTTCCATGATGGTTCCTCGTCTCCCTCCTCTTTCTTGGGTTTCTGCTGCCTGAGGTATTCACTGAGCACTCGGTCAGTTGGGGCCATCTTCCCAATGTATTCTTGGATGTTCGTTGTCTCATCCTGGACTGTGGTGCTGACACTCACCAGTCCCCGGCCCCCTTCCTTCCGCTTAGCGTACAGCCTCAGGGTGCTGGATTTGGGGTAAAACCCTCCATGCATGGTAAGGAGCTTTCTTGTCTTTATGTCAGTGGCTTCTATCTCCTCCTTTGGCTAGCCTATTACCCCAGCAGGGTACCTGATCACGGGCAGGGCGTACGTGTTGATGGCCCGGATCTTGTTCTTACCATTCAGCTGACTCCTCAGGACTTGCCTGACCCTCTGCAGGTACTTGGTGGTTGCAGCTTTTCTAGCGGCCGCTTCATGGTTCCCATTCGCCTGTGGGATCCCCAGGTACTTGTAACTGTCCTCTATGTCTGCAATGTTGCCTTCTGGTAGTTCAATCCCCTCAGTTCTGACTACCTTCCCTCTCTTTGTTACCATCCGACTACACTTCTCCAGTCCGAACGACATTCCAATGTCATTGCTGTATAGCCTGGTAGTGTGGATCAGTGAATCGATGTCTCGTTCACTCTTGGCATACAGCTTGATGTCATCCATGTACAGGAGGTGGCTGACAACTGCTCCATTCCGTAGTCGGTATCCGTAGCCAGTCTTGTTAATGATCTCACTGAGGGGGTTCAGGCCTATGCAGAACAGCAGTGGGGACAGAGCATCTCCTTGGTAGATCCCGCACTTGATGGTGACTTGTGCTATGGGCTTGGAGTTGGCCTCTAGTGTTGTACGCCACATCCCCATTGAGTTCCTGATGAAGGCTCTTAGGATCCCATTGATCTTGTACAATTCTAGGCATTCCAGTATCCAGCTGTGGGGCATTGAGTCATAGGCCTTCTTGTAATCAATCCAGGCAGTGCACAGGTTGGTCAGTCTGGTCTTGCAGTCTCGGCTGATTGTTCTGTCTACCAGTAGCTGGTGTTTTGCGCCTCTGGTATTCTTGCCAATTCCTTTCTGTGTCCCGCTCATGTATTGACCCATGTGCCTGTTCATCTTAGCCGATATGATGCCTGACAGGAGCTTCCATGTAGTACTGAGGCAGGTTATTGGTCGGTAGTTGGAGGGGACCGGTCCCTTCTTGGGGTCCTTGGGGATCAGGACCGTCCGGCCTTCAGTTAGCCATTCCGGGTGTCTCTCGTTAACTAGCAGCTGGTTCATTTGTGCTGCCAGACGCTCGTGGAGTGCAGTCAGCTTCTTCAGCCAGTAGGCGTGAACCATGTCGGGCCCTGGTGCTGTCCAACTCTTCATACTGGAGACCCTTTCTTGGATATCTGCCACTGTGATGGTTACTGGACCCTGTTCAGGGAGGTCGCTGTGGTCAGCCCTCAGATCCTCTAGCCACTGAGCATTGCCGTTATGGGTTGCATCCTTCTCCCATATGCTCTTCCAGTATTGCTCCGTCTCCAGCCTTGGTGGTGCTGTTCTCTTATTGTTCCCTTGCCACTGAGACTACACCTTTGCTGGTTCTGTGGAGAACAGCTGGTTTATTCTCCTGCCTTCTATCTCTCTGGTGTACCTCCTCAAGCGGCTGGCCAAGGCTGTGAGTCTTTGCTTGGCAGATATATATATATATATATATATATATATATATATATATATATATATATATATATATATATATATATATATATATATATACGCCTCCGATGCTTGCTACCCACGCGATGCAAATGGCAGGTCTGTCCAGCACTAGAAACGGCTGCAGGACAAGAAGCCCGCTGTCTACACAAGATCATTCCTTACCTCATACCCCCCCGTTGCATGTCACATCGTTTTACATGGTGTAGATGTGAATATTCATGTGCCTTTTTGTGCTGAGGTGGGTTTTTTTTGCTATCCTCAAACTGGTATCCAAGTTAGGGGCCCAGTTTGAGTAGAGCTCTTTTTCTCTCCTCTTGTCCCTGATGTGAGCACTTTCACTGTTTTCTTTTTGGCACGGCCACATCTGCAGCTTGTCCCCCTCCCTCTCTTGGACACAAGCATTTCACTGCATGTTGTACTTGTATGACTGTGTATGTGATGAATAAAAAATTGAACGTGAACTTGAACTTTTTCGTTTAAGTCACCTTTAGTAAAAACTCACCATTTGAAACTCTGACCTCAAAGTCATAGTATGCGTCTGGAGCAGATCTTCCCAAACCACACCTGTACATTCCTGAGTCAGACGTGATCATGTGTGTGAAGGTCAAAAACACAATTCCTCTTCCTGAAGCTCCATCTTTATATTCAATGCTGTATCTCCCACTCTGAGCTGTGCTTCCATCTGTTTTGATGAGGATATCTTCTGCTCGCTCACATTTTTCTTTACAGATGAACTTTGTGCTTCCAGGTAAAGTTAAGTGGCAGTTAAGTGTAGCATTTCCTCCTTCAGCTGCAGAATAGATGTTGAGCCTTGCCTTGACGAGCACAGCTGTGTCTGTCAGATGAAAACAGATGAAAATTTTTTAAAATTAGAAAGCAGCATTAAAGACAAAATCAGATCAACAGTTCTCACCTGACAAGAAGCAGAAGAAGAGAAAATGAAAGATTTTCATTCTGACTTTGATCCTGATGCAGAAAAGTTGTTAAACTTCAGAAGAACAGCGTCTGACTCTTCACTGTGTCTGTGTCTATCATCAGAAAACAGAAGTTACTTAGTGAGTTGTTTCCTTTTTAGCACTTCCTTCAAGTTTTTTAAAGATACATTCATCACATTCTAATGAGGAGAAGGAGTTTCAGAACAAATTTGACCTTTAAATCCTGATGCCAGCTCAGGCAATGTCTGAGAGGAACACATGATTGCCTGAGCTTAAGAGATAGAAAAAAAATGGAAATGACATTTCCAGTGTGTCATTTCCTCTCACACTCTCAACTACACTCCTGTCTACTGTGCTATCTAAAACACACAAAAAAAAACACCACATGTCAAAGCTGACTCATTTCTTAGGAATTAGAATTGAGTAATATTAATTAATTAATTATTAATATATTTATTTATATATTTATTTATAAATCAACATAATTTTTTTGCTGTTGCATTTTGAGATTATTTCATATTAAATATTGAAAATAAATGGCAAAGTTGGCCAAATAGCATTAAGTCTAAAATGGATTTAAAGGATTGCTTGAACATGAACCTGTTTGTAATGTCTAAAGAGGAAAACACATATCCATGTCTGTCAGTGAGGGCTGCAGTCTAAACAGAGATACCCAGAAATATTTTATTCCTCTACCTGATTGCCAATAATAATGGATTGGATTTATATAGCGCTTTTCAAGACACCCAAAGCGCTTTACAATACCACTATTCATTCACTCTCACATTCACACACTGGTGGAGCCAAGCTACGGTTATAGCCACAGCTGCCCTGGGGCAGACTGACAGAGGCGAGGCTGCCATATCGCACCATCGGCCCCTCTGGCCAACACCAGTAGGCAAGTAGGGTAAAGTGTCTTGCCCAAGGACACAACGACCAGGACAGAGAGCCCAGGGATCGAACCAGCGACCTTCCGGTTACAGATACGCTTCCCAACCCCCTGAGCCACGGTCGCCCCAAATAGTAAAATATTTAAAATATAAAAATAAAAATATCCACATCATCCCATGCAGGCGTTTTGCAAACAATGACCTCTGACCAGCAATAGAACACATATCATTGAAGGTAAAAATAAATAGTTGTTGTCTCCTTCACTTTGGCTTGAGAGATGTTTTGGACTTCTTCAGAGGCCTGGTATTGAACTCATCATTTGAATTAAGTGTGTTAACCCAGGGTGGTATCTAAAACCTGCAGGAAACTGGCACTTGAGGCCTGGAGATGCCTATCACTGCTCTAGTTACAGGAACAGGATTTCCTTTTTACGTGTTTCTGTTAAGGTTAAAATGAGTTTGATCTAACGTGAAGAAAAAATAACTCCCCTCAAGTGTGTTAAAGCAAAAGTCTGTTTTGATAAGGTAAAAAGTAGAAATTACAGATATTTGTTTAAAAATGTAGGGGGTAAAAGTAAAAAATAGTCAGAAAAAATACTCAAGTAAAGTACATACGTGAACTGAAATTTGTACTGAAGTACAGTAACAAAGTATCTGTATTTCTACCTCTGTAAACATCCATGCACACAGTATCGAGACCACTGCACATGCTGAGGAAATACAGAAGAAAAATCTTACAAGAAATATATTTTTTATTTTAGTGCATTCATGTGTGTGTGTCACATATCTCTGAAAATGTTTAGAGCACTTGTGCAAATATGTGATGTCTTGATGAATCGAGCAGATATTTGAAGTTTACACAGCTACATTCTCACATGAAAATATTTTAAAAGTTTATTTTGTGACCCAGAAAGAGTAATTTTTCAAACTCTGCCACTCTGTGTTCCTCAGCCACTGCCTCATTTGAGTTTTGGATGAAATGGATTCTGGGATATTGCATTTCGTCATTTCGAGCTGATTGGAGACCAGAACAGCCAATCAGATTTTTTTGCATCCAAGTCTGTGATTGGCTGGTTTGGTCTATTTGGTCAGAGTAGAAGTAGGAACCCGACACTGCAATGGTCCCTTAATCCACAGGGCAAGTAATTTACGTACAATACCCAAGCAAATTAAATGCATATAGTCTAAGGGAAAGGCTGAAACCATGCCAATGCCTAGCTCATGAAGAGGTGATTTGGAGTTATGGTCATCTTCATCTAACATTTCTTCAAACCGAGAATCTGATCTGAGACTTGAATCCATATCTGGAAAGCCTGGTCCACGGCCTTCTCTGCAAGTTCCACAGCATCTAAAGCAAGGCTATTTAAATGCTGCTGAACTCTAGCTTTAATTCTCCTTCTCCTCGTCCGTGATTTGGCAAGAAGGTAATCCATTTCACTAAAATACACAGAAGATTGTGTGCAGAATAGAAGTGTGAGCCATTTTCACACATACGGCAATCCAAAAAATTTATTTAGTCATTAGCACTCATCAGGCAATGTCTATGGGCAACTGACTGCACTCAGACCAAAGGGGGCTGAATAATTACGCACACCCCACTTTGCAGTTATCTATTTGTAAAAAAATGTTTGGAATCATGTGTGATTTTCATTCCACTTCTCACGTGTACACCACTTTGTATTGGTCTTTCACGTGGGATTCCAATAAAATTGATTCATGTTTGTGGCTGTAATGTGACAAAATGTGGAAAAGTTCAAGGGGGCCGAATACTTTTGCAAGCCACTGTATGTGGAAACATTGTTTGTAAAAACACACTTTAGCCAGAGTGGAGATTTTCCATCAATCTACACTGTAAAATGTATAAATCAGCAAGTGATAAATTATCACTGTTGCTGGTATTTTCTCAAAGAGTTGTATGTGATAGAAATTGCTGTTTGTAGTCCTGTACATCTGCATGTTGCTTCCCAATTAAAATCTATAATTGTGGAGATTCATATTCATGTGATACTTTGTTAAGAAATAGAGAGATATTTTTTAATGCGTATCTGCTCATTAGATTGTTTTATGCATAAAAGAAGGCCAGCTTTGAGACAAGGTCACAGGCTGACAGGAAACTGCAGGTTTTTGCAGAAGTATGAGCAACAGACAGAGTGAAACTAAGTTCAGACAGGTTGCCCTGGCAACAGACCTTAGGAAGGGGAAGTTATTGCAAGCTGCACAGGAAGTTTTAGTTCACAGGCATATTAATAACTCAGACACAGAAAAGAGGAGCTGAATAGTGATGGGTCAGTCGCGAACGAAATGGCTCTTAGAGCCGGTGTTGTGCCAAAAAGTGATTGTCTGCCAAAACTGATTTCCGGTATTTGCCAAAAAGCGATTGCTCATATTTAAAGTGCTATAAGTAACTTGTTGGGCTATAATATGTTAAACATATGTCAAATGCATCCCTTATGGATGACATAAAGTCATCTTGAGCCACAAACAACATTCGTGTAGCAAGATACAAGCCGCAATCAGTTTTTGGCAGCGACTTTTATATAACCTTTATTTATGCAGTAAAAAAATCTCATTAACATTAAAAATGTATTTTGTAAGAGTAAGTTGCCCAACAGGACAGCAGAAATAGCAGCAAATATTACAATAGTTCTGTAAAAATATTTTAAGTGGGGATAAAGGACCGGATTGGTTATAATGTAAGTACAAGTTGTAGAGATACTTAAAAAACAGATAATTTTTAATTCTTTATGTAACCCTTTGTATCCCTGTTCACCGAAGTCTATTTACGAACATACGTAAAGATATTACACATAAAAAATACACAGAAACACTGGAAATCACTTTTTGGCAGACAATCACTTTTTGGCACAACACCGGATCTTTGAAGTGAACGATGCGAGCCGGCTCCTTATTGGGAGCCGTGGTTTTTTTTTTCCTTTCTCCTGCCCTCCTTTTCACTTTTTTCACTTCATGCTGCAAGTCACCCTGGTGTTTGCGCTGAGCAGAGACGGCAAACAGAGCCTTGCATTTGCGCCCCTCCCCCCTCTCCTCAGCGCTGAGCTGAGGGGGCGGGGCGGTAGTTACACTCGCAACAGCAGTAGCACACAACAAGAGCAGGAGGCAGAGGGAAAGAAAGAGAGCCGGGAGCGACAAGAGACAACAAGAAAATGAGTGATACCAAGAAAAGAAGCAAAGTCTGGAACCATTTCAATCTTATTGACAAAACAAAGGCAGAGTGTAGAGTCTACAAGAAAAGGATATCATATAGAGCTGGCTCCACAAACAACATGCACAGGCACCTAAGAACTGTCCACCCATCAGTGCAATGGGAAGATAAAACGCAGTCAGTTGAGTGTGAGGACTCTCTTCCAGACACTAAACCAAGGAACAATGTACATTTCAAATTCCTTTAATTTTAAATATGTTTATATTGTCTATCCTGTAAAATAGTCAGATCTCTATTCATATTAATGTACAGAATTCACCTGCTTGCTGCTACTACTGCACATTCACCCAATGTATATACTATATATATATAATGTTCCTCCTCTACAGCCCCCCCCCCCCCCCCCCCCCCAATTTTTGCACATGTCGAGGAGTGTGTCAGGCTACATTTCACTGTGTGTTATACTTGTATAACTATGCATGTGACAAATAAAGAACCTTGAACCTTGATATTAATATTTCTAAATGCCAACCTTTTCCTTAATTAAAGATCTGGGCGTTCCCCCCCCCCCCCCCCCATAAATTAGTTTATATTTTATTGTGTTGTGGTTTGCAGTGTTTTGTGTTGTTTCACTTTAAATTTGTTTAAAAGGAAAAAGCTGAAAATTTAAGTAGTTAAAAGTTGAAATGTATGAAATGTAAATAGTTTTTGTATTTTATAAGTTATTTATTACATTTTATGTGGAATGAATAAATAAACGTATAT